ACTCCTCAAATTTATCTATAAATTTCACACAGTCCTTTTCAAAATTCAAAGGTCTTTTTTAGCTAAGATGGAAAAGCTGATCCTAAAATTCATATGGAATTACCAGGTTCCCTGTATTGTTCAAAACAATTTTGAAAAAGAACAAAAATGAAGGACTGTACTTCCCAGTTTCAAAACTTTTTACAAAGTAAAATGCTGTAGTACAGGCAAGTAGACTCATAGATCAATGGAACAGAACTGAGACTCTAGAAATAAATTCACACATCCACGGCCACATGGTTTTACTTCTACATAAAGGATCATTCAGTGGGGGAAGAACAGGTTCTTCAGCAAATGTTACTGACAACTGGATACTCACATGCCAAGAAGTGAGGCTGAACTCTTCCTATCTGTACACAATTAATTCAAAATGGATTAAAAACATAAATGTAAGAGGTAAAACTATAAAACAATTAGAAGAAATCACAAAGATATATCACCAAAACCTTGAACTTGGCAATGGTTTTTTAGCTATGGCAACAAAAGCATAAAATAAAAAAACCAGATAAATTGGACTTCATCAAAATTAAAAAATTGGACTTTATCCAATTCTTTGTATTTCAAAGAATACTATTAAGGAGGTGATCAGACAACCCACAAACAGAAGAAAACATTTGCAAATCATGTATCTGATGAGTCCAATGCCCAGAATACATAAAGAACTTTTACAACTCAACGAACAAAAAATTTAAAAATTGACATAGGATGGGAAGCTGAGGCAGAAAGCCTGAAAGTTTGAGCCCAGCGTGGGCAACTTAGCAAGGCCCTGTGTCAAAATAAAAAATAAAAAGGAATAAGGATGTAGCTCAGTGCAAAGGCCCCAGGTTCAATTCCCAGTACTGGGGAAAAATGACAAAGGACTTGGATACGCATTTTTCCAAAGAAGATACACAAGTGGGCAACAAGTACATGCAAAGATTTTCAATATAATTCATCTTCAGGAAAATGGAAATCAAAACCATGGAGATACACCTCATGCACACTAGGATGGCCACATTACATGATCTAATGGAAAATAACAAGTGTTGGTGAGGATGTAAAGAAATTGGAATCCTCATTGCTAATGTTGCAGTCTTTGTGGAAAAGTTTAGTGGTTCCTCAAAAAGTTAAACAATTACCATACAACTTTCACTTGATAACCTTAAGGCCTCTTTCCCATTGTCCCAATGAAAAGTATGTGGCTTCTTTTTAATGCTAATCTTTTTAGCAACCAAGCTCTCTTCTGTTTCAACATTGCAAGCCTTTCCTTTCAGACAAAACTGAAAACTTCTGGCATTTTGCCCGATTTCCAGTGCACACTGGATTAAAAGCTGCCACAGTACATATGCCATACCCTGAACAATGGGATGCCTTAAAATTTCCTCCACCACATGAGTTTGCTGCCCTTAATCTCAATCTCCTACAAAATCTCAGAACACAAGCAAAACGCAGACAAATTTTCTATTAAAGCATAACATACACAGTCTCAAGGCCAACTGCCAATGGAGTCCTTATTCCAAATGCAACCTCCTGAGCCTGGCCTTTATTGTCTGCATTTTTATGAGCATTCTGGTTTTCCGAGCTCTGGCCAGAATTTCCCATCAAGCTCAGCTTACAGCATTCTTTACCTGGCATCTCTAAACTTTTCCAAACTCCTCCCATGAACCAGTTCCAAAAGCTTCTACACCACATGGTCAGACAATCACAGCAAAAGCCCACTCTTTGGTACCAAAATCTGTCTTAGTCACTTTCTTGTCACCGAGACAATACCCACCACCCAAAATTTAGAGGACAGGTTTGCTTTGGTTCATGGTTACAGTCCCCTCTAACCATGGCTCCAAGGCAGAAAATAGCACAAGACCAGGGCATAGTGCAGGAAAAACTCCCACCAAGGCAGCCAGGAAGAAGAGAAGATTGGGATGATATACCCTTCCAGGTCACGCCTCCCATGACCTGCCTCTTCTGACCAGGCTCACTTTCCAGTAACACTCAGCCCCTTAACTCACTGGTGGATGAATCCACTATGAATACAGCACCACTATGATCTAATCACCTTCATAAATCCTTGCCTCTGAGTGCATAGAGCTTTAGGGCAACAGACTCAATCCGACCCATAAGACCAAATAAATAGATCTCTGGCCAAGCCATATTGATGAATCAAAGACGACCACAGTGGCAAACCCTTTGGCCCTCAATCTGTTACTTGTTAAAAGCATGCTTTGTATTTTCTTATAAAGCAGTCAGGAATTTGAAAGTGGATTTCTCCCAAAATGGTGATTCTTCACTTGGGCCAAAAGAAGTCTAACAGGTAACTAACAGAAGAATAAAGCTTGATCATCATTATGTACAACTGAGTCATACCCTTCTTAGTTCTGCATACAGCCATTTAGGAAATCTATCTAAACACTGGCAAAACAAAGTATACTAACCTTAAATTTACCTACCCTATTTCATTTCTTTAAGATTGAGTACACCAGGATAAGAGATTTACAGGGACACTTAGCTATGTCCACAAATCTCCATAGCCCTAAACCCTGGATTACCTTGGATTTCAGAAGAGTCTTAAATGACAGACTCTTCCAGAAACATTCAACTCGTGGGAACTAAATTACTCCTGGAGTCATAAGGATTCCTCCAGAGCTATAAATCCAGCACCGAGACAGAGCAGGTCCCAGCCCATCATATCACCCTATAAAACTGTTCTGTTCTTGTGTGAATAGGACAGTCTGATCCACCTCTTCAGACCTGTGTCCTCATCAATTTCTATGAAGCTTCCTTATCTCCTCTTACTTGCCTTTGTTAGGAGACAAACTTGATCTTTGTCAAAGCAGTGTTCCCCTTTATTTTTACTTTTTAGTTGAAGCTTTTTTTCCTGTAAACTCATACTGTTACTGCAGTTTTAATTTCCATTACCACTACAGTGAGGATTCATGATAGCCAGTAACAATAAGAAGCCAGTAACAATATTTGAAGGCTGGGCATGGTGGTGTACACCTGTAATCCCAGCACTCGGGAGGCTGAGGCAGGAGGATTGTCCTAGGCTACATAGTAAACTCATGACCAGCCTGAACTACACAGAGAGACCTTGTATGTATATATTTGGAACCAGGTGATGGTACACATCTGTAATCCCAGATTGTGGCAGGAAGATCACAAGTTTGAGGCCAACATGGGCAATTTAGTGAGACTGTCTCAAAATAAAAAATAAAAGCTACTGATGTAGTTCAGTGGTAGAGTGCCCCAGTTTCAATCCCCAGCACCACTAACTAAATATTAAACATAAAACCCTCTGGTATAAAAAGCTTGGAATCTAGAACATTTGGAATTTCCTGAGCTCGTTTCAGCATACCATCTTTTGTTATTCCTAATAAGCACCTTTCATAGCTGAATTTGCTAATGAGGTAATTATTGGTGTGCCTCTACATAGCATCAGTTTGGGGGACGGCTGCCAGAAGAACCAGCCTCAGCCTGACCTCTAGGAAGGAGAGATTTAATTATTTATTGGTAGCCAATGATTTAATTCAGCATGGGTACATAATGGAATCTCTGGAAAGACCAGAAACAATTGAGTTCAGAGAGGCTCGGGGTCGGGGGGAGGCAGTGAATGCATTCATGCACAAGTAGACAGGGCAGTGCACCTCAACTCCTTACAGGCATTTGGGACACCTCTGGACCATGCCTGAAGTAACTCATCTGCTCATATGTACCCTTTATGATGTAAATAATACCTGGTAATAGTGTTTCCACTAGTCTTACCTGTTACACGAAATTAATGAACCTGACTCATGAAAGCCTAGATTTACAGCTAAGTCAGAACGGTGGGTAACCTGCAGATCCACTACTGTCACTTTTGTCATTGAGGGACAGGTGGCACTGAGCCCTTCACCTGTGGGGTTTGCATTCATTCTTAGTTGTTAGAAATAATTCCAATTCTAAGACACAGTATCCACAAAAGAATTGCTTGTTGAGGAAACACACATTGGGCATCAGAAATGTTAGGTTTTCCTTACTCCCATTAACAGATGAGATGCAGAAAAAAGTCTATGATCACCCACTTTCCTCTTATTTATCTCTATAAGGAATTCACATAGATTTTTATGTAACTTCTTTCAGAAAATCATTACCTAGAAATGGACTTTTCTTCCTCCTTAACTGTTCAAGGTTTCTGGAACAATAAATATTAACCTCAAGTGGGTCTAGGGGAGGAAGGATATTTCAAAGACAGATATTTCAAACTTTTAAAACTCAATTTCTGACTTTTTGAAAACTAATCCTATTCCATCCTACTACAATTTGCAGCTGTGAGCAGAGGCTGCTGTCTTTACCCAGGGCATGCATTCTTCATCACTTACTGTTATTCAAAGCAACTTCATTTATTTATTGTTTTAATGGAGCAGAAGATTCTCATTTGAAGAGTATTTTGAGACTTCCAAAGGCCAGAGACCCTGACAAGCACTAAAAAGAATAGGAATTCAAGATAAATACCTTCTTCCAGGACTTCATGAATTACATTTGCAGAGGAGTTCATTACTACACAATAGGAATGCTTTAACATACTATGTTATTTATATTTATATGTGGTCCCTATTTTTACATAAAGCACAACTATAGTAAATGTCATTTTTAGAAGTACAGTAGTCTACATGCACAGGTAACACACACACGATAAATATGTGAAAAAATTTTACTAATTTTTACTCCTTGGAGTATCACTGCAATGAATACCTCTTTTTACCTTAATAGACATTTTTACATTTTTAAAAGCTGCCTGGGGCCAGGGTTTTAGCTCAGTGGCACAGAGCCTTCCTGGCAAGAGTGAAGTCCTGAGTTTGATTCGCAGCCCCCCCCTGCTCAAAAAATGCTGCCTGTTTATGTCATTTGCTGGTTTTTATCAGCTACTTATGTTCCTTTCAACTGTAAAATCTCTGTGTACATTAAATACTACACTTTTATATCACAAATTTTACAAATAAATTCCCAACTTTTATGCTTTACTTTAACAGCTTTATTTGGGAGTATTTAAAACAAAAACATATTAGAAATAATTTTGAATGATCAATTTATCAACATTTTGTTTCTAGCATTTATCTGATATTTTGCAAAGTTTTCTCTATTTCACAAAAGTGAAATCCTTGTTTTTCCTCTTTACAAAATACATGCTTGTACCAAAAATTAAACAGAAATAAATTAGTTTAGGTAGAGCGGATATCTTTATAATATGGGTTTTCCTACGTAAGAACACATTTTGTTCTCTCTCTCCATTTATTCAAGCTTCCTCTGGTGGCCCTTGGTGGAGAATTATCATTTTTACCATATTGGTTCCATAAAACAATTGTTTGTTCCTAGAAAATCTACTGTTCTTGATGCTGCTAAGGATTTCTCTCAATATTTTCAAGTTGGTTGTTGGTACAAACCAAAGTTATTTTGCAATATTATTTTTTAACTGGTGATATATTCTTCATTAAAAATTGAATAAAACAGAAAAGATGTGTTTCCATGTGAGGACTTTGCCACATTCACTTCCCTCCCAAAGGATTCCTCCAAGGTGAATCTGATGATGCATGATCCATTTCAGCATTAACCTTCAGAGCTCCTACATCCTTCTCACTAAGATTTCCCTTCATTATGGATACTCTGATGCTGATCAAGCTGGAAGGTAAACCTAAAGGCCTTCCCACAGATATTACACACATGAGGTTTCTTCCAACTGTGGACAGTCTGGTGTATAATACAGTCAGAACTAAAGCTGAAGCCTTTGCCACACTCTACACATCGGAAAGGTTTCTCCCCAGTGTGGCTTCTCTGATGCCGAATTAAATGGGCATTAACATGGAAGGCTTTTCCACACTCCTTACACTGAAAGGGTTTCTCTCCAGTATGAATTCTCTGGTGCACAATATAGTCAGAACTACAGCTGAATGCTTTTTCACATTCCATACATTTGAAAGGTTTCTCTCCAGTATGTATTCGCTGATGTCTAGTTAACTTGGCATTGATACTGAAGGCTTTGCCACATTCCTTGCACTGATAAGGCTTTTCTCCAGTATGGATTCGGTGATGATCAAGTAGGTTTCTTTTAGAAGTAAAGCATTTCCCACATTCACTACATTCAAATGGTTTCTCCCCAGTGTGAATTCTCTGATGCTGCATTAGTTTTGCATTAACACTGAAAGCCTTTCCACACTCATCACACTTGTAGGGTTTCTCCCCAGTATGGATCTTCAGATGCTGCCGAAGCTGAGAGTTACACCTGAAGGCTTTCCCACATTCATTACATCCATATGGTTTCTCACCAGTGTGGATTCTCTGGTGCTGGATTAATTTCCCTTTGACACTGAAAGCTTTTCCACATTCGTTGCACTCATAAGGTTTCTCACCTGTGTGGATTCTTTGATGCTGAATGAGTTTTGCATTATTATTGAAGGCTTTTCCACACTCTTTACACTGATAGGGCTTCTCTCCAGTATGGACACTCTGGTGCTGCCTAAGCTGAGAGCTGCACCTGAAGCCTTTCCCACACTCACTGCACACATAAGGTTTCTCTCCAGTATGGATTCTCTGATGTTGTATTAATTTTGCATTAACACTGAAAGCTTTCCCACAGTCACTGCACTCATAAGGTTTCTCTCCAGTGTGGACTCTTTGATGTGTAATATATGCAGAACTACAGCTAAAGCCAGTTCCACACTCCTGGCACTGATAGGGCTTCTCTCCTGTGTGGATCCTCCGATGCCTACTAAGACTCCCATTAACACTAAAGGCCTTCCCACAAATCTTACACTGATAGGGCTTCTCCCCACTGTGGATTGTCAGATGTGTGATATAATGGGAACTGTAACTGAAGCACTTCCCACACTCCACACATTTGAAGGGTTTCTCCCCACTATGAAATCTTTGATGCCAAATTAATTCTGTGATAACACTGAAGGCTTTGCCACACTCCACACACTGATAAGCCTTCTCCCCAGTGTAGTTTTCTAGATGCTGATTAGATTGAGAGTCAAATCTAAAGATTTCCACTAAATCTTCACATTTTATAGGTCTTTCGACAGTATTAATTATTTCATGCTTAATAAGTTCTGTGTCAAAGCTAAAGGCTTTCATCAGTCCTGTACAACCAGGGTGCTGCTGTTCAGTGTCAGAGGAGATACTATGATGCTGAAACAAGTTTGGACTGTGACTAAAGGAATACTCCTCCATGGAGCTTGTTTCATCTTTCACTGCTCTCTCCATGTTGCTGCTGTTTTCCTTTTCTATCCTTCCTGCTGATTGGACTTCCTGTGGTTGCTCTGGTATGTATGTTTCTTTAAAGTCTGTTTCCAGGGAAAAGTCCCTTGGAAGTTCAAATGATGTGCTATCCTTTTCTTCATATACTTCACTTGTCAAATTATTGTTTGTCTGTATACCAGTATCTACTATAAAAACAGAAAACATAAAATGTCATGTAAGAAACATGCTAGAAAAAAAGATCTGTACTCTAAAGGATCAAAACAATCAGAGGGTTCTTTAATATTACCAGACTGTCAAAGAACCTAAGATTCATTCATACAGTGGATGTAATATGTGTAATAGACAGCTGTAAAACAACAAACAAATTTATACATGCCAACATGAAAAGTTGTCTAAGGTAAAATGTTTACTGAGAAAAGAAACAGAAAAGATTCCATTTGTGTACAAAAAAGGACAGACAAATACATATATTTTTGCATATGCCTAGAAAACTTCTAATCTAAAAAACTACACAAGAAACTAAGCAAATTGGCACATGAAGTTTGGTAGGCTTTTTCCTCTCATTAGACATGTTCTGTACTGTTTTGAGCACTTACCAATGTTATACATTTTAAATAGATAATTAAAAAGGATAACCAGTCATGCTCTAAGGCAGGGCCATAACCAATAACATGATGGTTAAAAGACAGCAGTAAATAAAATTTTAGGTCTTGTCCACCAGATCAGTATTTTAGCCATCACATCATGCTCTTCTATACTCTTGTCCCCATGGTACTGAGTTATTTATTAATAAAAGTGGAAAATGTTTAAGAAAGAAAAGGCACAGGAAAATAACATGTGAAGAGAAGGAAGAAACAGGAAGGAGGAAGAAAAAAGAAGAAAAGAGAAGGAGGAGGAGAAAAAAGGAGAAGATAGAAGGACAAAGAGAAAGAGGAAGAGGAAGAAGAAAAAGAAGTTGTTGAAGAAAAAGGAGAAGAAAGTCTACATTTTCCACCTTTTCTTGCAGTCACAATAGCAGAGGAGGGAGGCAGAAGAAGCAGGAGGAGGGGTTGTTGAAGAAAAAGAAGAAAGTCTACATTTTCCACCTTTTCTTGCAGTGAGGATAGCAGAGTTCCAGGAAATGATATGTAAATGGAAGTCACCACATGGGGGTTAGGAGAAAGTTTTTAAAAAGAAGGTCAACTATACTGTCATGGGCCTCATGCTCTGTCCTTCCCTTTCTGCCTGAACTACAGCGTAATTGATTCCTTACCCCTATTAACCTATATACATGGATGAGACTAATGTTTTTCTCAGCTAAAATCACGACAGCCTGCACAGAGACTTTAAAGATTTCAGGACCACCTCCTTTGGTGGGGTTAGGAGTGTAGTTCAGTGGTAGAGCACCAGCCTAGCATGTGGCAGGCCCTAGGTTCAATTTCTAGCACTGTAAAAAGAAAAAAGGAAAGAAGGAAAAAAGGAAAGAAGGAAGGAAGGAAGGAAGGAAGGAAGGAAGGAAGGAAAAGAAAGAAAGAAAGAAAGAAAGAAAGAAAGAAAGAAAGAAAGAAAGAAAAAGAAAGAGAGAACAAAGAGATCGAAACATCATTAAGGACTTTACAATTAGAAATGTACTCTCGGCTCTACCCAAGACTTACTCATTGATAATCTGCTTATTTCTAAGATCCTCTCAAGTGACTCATTTTAACATCAACATTAGCAAAGCATGGAATTAGGGCACTTCCTCTTTACTTCTGCTATGTAGAGCTCTGTCCCCACCCCACAAAATAAAAATGTTTAACTGAGCACACCTCTGCTAGACACTTGATATATGTTATCTCATTTAATCCTCAACTCATAAGACTAGCAGTATTGCCTTTTCATTATTATTATCCCACTTTCACAGATGAGCTCACTAAAACTTAGAGATCTCAAATAATTGACCTGGCTCAAAATCATACAACTAGAAAGTAGTCTAGTTGGGACAGGACATAGGAAAGCCTACTCTAAAGACTATACTTTTAACCACTCCCATCTTCATGTGTGAAAAGGTTTATTAGTTCTATATCCTCCACATTAAGTGATCAGTGCTTAGAAAATGGAAAGGACTCCAAAAATTACTTATTAAATTCATTAATTTTTGTCTAAGAAAGGCAGGATTCCAAAATTAGGACTGAAAAGAGTTAGAATAAAACATTTGAAAATAAGGTCTGTTTTGGGGATTAGATATAGACATGTGTGTGCAAACAGACCTATCTAAATCATTAAAATTTATTTAAAAGGCCCTGGGAGTAACCCTCAGCATTAAATAAAAAAAAAGAATCAACTTTTTACGCTGCATGGCTGAACAATAAATGCGGCATTTCTACAGTATATTGCTGGGCATTATGTGCCTTCCTTACCAGTCCAGAGGCCCTTAGGGCCTGTTCCAGTTACAGGAGCCAGTGGAGATGGGCCCTCCACCTCACCACCTCTCTCCAGTTGTGAGATCATAGCAGGTTTAAGAAGCGGAAACCCTGGTTTGGGAGAAGGAAAGAAGAGAGTCATGAACAATCTCCCATAGATGAGTTCCTAAACTTCTTCTCAAATTGCCTCAACAACGGGGAGGGAGACTAACAGCTCTGGAAGAGACTGAGGGTGGTAGTGAGAAAGGCCAGAACTCTGGATGTGGAAAGGAGGGCTCAGGAAAGACACAGACTGCAGACCCAGGAGATCTCATGCAGAGTAGACTGGGACAGTCTGCCCAAAGTGGACTCTCAAATATTCAGAGCCCCAGAGAGCCTTAAAAAGACTCAAAAAGCAAGGTGGAGACCTGAAGACGCCACCATGGAACAGAAGCTACTATTTTTCAGATTGTGTCCAAAACACAACTTCCACAGATAGATTAGAAGCATATACAAGTGTCCTGTTATACTGATCCAATGCATTTGTCAAGATCAGGAACAACCCTGGGTTTCCTACTCAGTGAAGAATTATCAGACGCCCCACCTGTGTCCTGTCAGGGAGAAGGGTGCCAGGAAAACCGCAATGGTAGAGAGAGGCCTTACCCACAGAGGACACGTTCCCATAATTCTCCAGCATCACATCCCTGTACAAGGCTCTCTGTGCAGGGGACAGGCCATCCCATTCCGTCTGGGTGAAGTAGACAGCCACATCCTCAAAGGTCACCAACTTCTGAAACAACAGGGCCAATTCCATGGATCAGGCCCTAAGTGAGGGGCAGAGGGCACTATAAGGTCTCAGGGAGGGAGCTTGTAAAGACCACATGATTAATAACAAGGGAGAGGTAAGAAAAAGCACCAGGAAAGCAAACTATGGAGTATCTAACTCCAGAGCACAGAAACCTTTTACCATTTTTTACACTTATAAAAGATGACATAAGTTAAACTCAAAGAAAAAGCAAATTCTCCTAAAGCAACTCTGTTCTGTTACGTAGTTCCCTTACTGCAGTCTCAGGACCAATTCACCAGGAGTTTCCATTGCATCCTTACAAGGTCTGGCTCTCCTGGGCCTAATCTCAGCAGCGACTTCCCACATCTTGCCCTCATTCTCATACTGCAAACCACCCCCGAAGAACAGTCCTGCCTTCTACCTCATCTGCCACCTAATTCCCATCACAGACTCCCAGTTAGGATTCAGTAGTCTTTGCTCCAGCACAGAAAATCAGAGCTGCCCAGGCGAGGGTCTCCCTGAACACCCAGCATTTCTGGTCCTGCTTCCACACAGTCTCCCAAGTCTTTATTCTTTCTCCAAGAAGGTGTGGGGAAGAATAGAGACCAGCGTTCCCGCTAGCCAACTGCTCTGCCACCCCTGGATTCTTTTTTTTTTTTTTTTTGCACTAGGCTATGTGGTCAGCACAAGCTCTGCTGCTCAGAGCTGATGCTGCTCGTCACCCTCAGGCCCAAATGCTTCCTCCTGAGTAGCTGCAGCCCCTGGCAAATGCTCCTTCTGCCTATCTCAGCCTTTTGTAACAGCCTTGTAGACTCACTGGAGATATTCATCTCTCATCTGTCTGGCCAGATTTAGCTTCTTGGCAATCAATAATTTTAGTCCAACCTCTAGGTGCTTCTATGAGTCTTCCTTGTGTAACCTCAGACAAGTCATTGAACTTTCCTGCACAAAATTTATGGCCTCCTCTGCATGCCACCTCCATCCTGTCCCTAGCAAGCTGGCATCTCCTCCTGAATTAATTCCTCAGCCGGTGTCCACACTACCCACACAGGAAACACTGATAGAAAACTAAGGGGGCATTACTGACCCTCCTGCTTCTCTACACATCCCCTAAATCTTTCACTCTCTGTATCCTGAAGATTTTATGTTTCAAGCATTATTTGAATTTGATCCCTCCTCTTCACCAACAACTTTCCTTGATGAAGCCACATCACCGGAACCAGTAGATTCTTTCTTGAATGGTCCCCTTGCTTTTGCATCTCCCTTGAAAATTATTCCATACACAACAGTCACAAATCTGATTACTTTCACAGCTATCATATAATGAGCAGTTGCAAACACACAGTAACTCCAAGACCTCAGACACATTATTGCCCTTTTGTCTCCATTTCTTTCTGGCAGACTAAGTATACAACATAGCACCTATCACAGGAAGTGGATGTCAGGACTAAATAGCCAGTGCAATGTGGGCATGGTGTGGAGGCTGCAGCACAGCACACCTCAAACCATGTTAGCATGATTATTATTCCTAACCTGGAGGTCCATGGATAACCCTCAGGGGTTCCAGGAAGAAAATCTGGCTTGCCAATTCTGGACAAGGTTGAAAGCTTCTACCAGAAATCTATATATGTGCTGTTGAAGTGAGCATGTTAACAGAGATTTGAAGTCTGAACTACTGCACCCAAGCCCTGAAAGCTTTGTAAGGACACAACAAGACACTGCCCCACAGGACTTCTTGCTTTTCCTCTCTTCAGATCCCAAATTCCATCATCTTCTCCTTCCCCCTTAATTAAAGGCCTCGCCATCCTTCTCACTGATCTGATCTGCTCCTCCTATTTCCTCCTCTTTCTGTGACTCTCCTTCACTCTCGGTTTTTTGTTTTTTTTTTCCGGTACCAGGAATCCAACTCATGACCTTGCGCTTGCCAGGCAGACGCTGTGGGGCTGAGCTAAATCCCCAGCCCTGATTCTCCTTCACTCTCATCTAGGCATAGAGCACTCCCTCTGGGCAGCTTCTACAGCCCCATTCACCCGGAGCCCTCTGCCAAGGGCTTTCCTGTATAGGAACAGAGTCCCTGGTGTGCAGAAGACAATGCACCACCTTCTGGGTTCCCTCCTGCAGCCTCTGCTGTCCCAGCCCCTGCCATACCCCCTCCCCAGCACCATTCGCACAAGTTCCAGGCTTTCATCGCAAGGCTCATCCACTCCCTTCAGTTTTCTTCAATTTGAAGAACCCAGAGCTCACCTGGGGCCAGGCTGTGAGAAGCATGGCTGCCATCACCTAGTATCCCTCTCAGAGAAGGGCCAGAGCTGGGGAGAAAGAGAGAAAAGGTGAGAGAAGCCACCCCTATTGGAGCAATACAGCCCCCGGCCAGAGAAGAGGTGCCAGCAGCCAGCACCCAGTCAGGAGTGTGACCAAGAGCTGCCCAGGAAGAAGGGAGCAATCCACTCACAAGCTCAGTGCCCAGAACTCCTCCAGGCCAGGTCACTGGTGCTCACTGCCAACAACCCCCGGATTTTATAATTGTGACAATCACAAAAAAGAGTGTATACAGAATACAAGTAGAGCCTCAAAAATAAAAGAATGAGACTTATGTAGCAACAATTCAGTTCAAGACACAGAACATGAACACATCTTTGAACTCATTTTCTGTGAACAACCGCCATCCTCGATTACACTTGGCAAGAAGCGAGACTGGCTGGGCTGGGGAGTCAGGCAGCATCTCCCCACATTGTGCCTGTTCCTTCAGAGTCCTGAGTGTCTTTAAGAACCACAATGCTTCTGTGGACACTTGGCAGGTCAGCCTCCTGCATGGCCCAGGCTTACTTTGAGGAAGGAGAGCTGGAAGTGAGGTACTAAATTACCTCCTCACACTTCCCCCTTTCTGACCGTACATGTGCCAAGTCATTGCCTTGACCACTTCCACAGAGGCACCAACCAGGTTTGTAAAGCTTCAACCTACCAATACCTCTGCAAGGACCTATACCCTATATCCTAGTTCCTCCCCTGGGCTTCTTTGGTGTCCCATATGTGACACCCACTAGACCCTGAAGTGCATGGAAGGGAATGTCTCTGGGGCTAACCCTGACCAAGGGGACAGAATGGAAACCTGTTTTCCCCTTTAGTTCCCCAGAGGGACATCCTTGAGACTCCAAGGCTCCACAGAGACCCTACAAGACAGAGAGCCTATCGAGGGCCTAGCTACGCATCCTTGACAATGCATCCTTTTACTGCTTTGTTAAATCAAACTATCTTGGCCTAAGAAAGTCTCCCCACTAACACATTTGAGTCCTTACACGTGTAAAGCTGGACCCTAACTCAGTACATAAAGAAACCGAAAACCTAAATTAAGAATTGGCCTTTGTAACACATAGCTGAGTCTGATTTGATAACAGTAGCTGAGCCTCAGCTGAACTACATTCAAATAAAGTACACAGCAGGTATTAACCAACTGTGCTATCTCTGTATCGCATTTCTGTTTTCTGTACAGTAATTACCCTTTTCTGCCTATAAATGTCAGCCAGGCAGAACACGGCAGCCCCGGGTTTATAGAACCTATCCTGGTTCTGGAGACTGCCCACTTACTGAATGTGTCTTTGCTCAAGTGAGTGGTTAAATTTAAAGTTTTTCTCTTAATAGGACTTCCCGTCTCAGTTTTACTCCCCATGTCCTTACTCTGTCCCTGTGACCACACTCCTAAATAAATTCTTACACACAAATCTTTGTTCCATGTTCTGCCTTTGGGAGAAGCTAGACTACAACAGGCCTCTGCTTTTTTTCTTTTTAAAAAATTTCCTACCTTGCTGAAGTTGCATGATTTATTCATTTATTTTCCTTCTCTTATTTAGCAACTAAAGCCTAGAAGGCTACAAATTTTCCTCTGTATATACCATTAGCCACATTCCCAAGGTTGAACTGTTTTATCCCTGAACTCATATTTTAACAGAATAGTTTGTATTGCTCATTTTTTCTCTAATTTTAAGTTCTGGCTTTACTGTACATTTAAATAAGCTGATCTATTAACTTCTGTTTTACAGATTCCCTCCTCCTTCCAGGAATCAAACTCAGGACCTTGCATTTGCCAGGCAGGTGCTGTCCCACTAAGCTATATGCCTGGCCCTATTTGACAGATTTTTAAGGCTCTTTTTTTTTAGCTAGTGCCATTTTCAAAACATATTCTATAGTGTTTAAAAAGAAAACTTACTCTATGATGGACGAATATATAATTTTATTTGAATCAAATGAATCAACTCTACCAATTCTTGTCTACATTAACAAGTCAAAGAAAGATAAACATACTGTCCGTCTCAACAGATGCCAAAGGTGTTTTAAAAAAATCAACATTAATACCTAATATTAAAAACTTATACCTTACTGAAAACCCACACATCCACTGAGAATACACCAACAATTTTTGGACTGTTCCTACAATAAACTATAAGCCAGCAGCTACACATGAGTAAATTTAGGAACATATTATTATATTATGCAAGTACCAGGTGACTATACACACTATGATGCCACTTTTATAAAGCTCAAAAGCAAATAAAAAACCTGTTTGTGCTCAGCCTGGGCAACTTAGCAAAATTTTAAAATAAATAAATAAAGGGCTAGGGATATAGCTCACTGGCAAGGCCCTAGGTTTAAGCCTCAGTACTTGAAAAAATAACAAATTATTTACAGAGTATGCATCTTGTAAATTTTTTAAAGAAGCTATGATTAACAATAAATCCAAAACAGTTGTTACCTCTAGGGATTGGTGGATGAGGAGGAACACATAGATCCATGGAGCAGTACAGGAAATGTTCTTGCATAACTGGGTGGTTTGTTCAAAGATGCTCTTTTTGCCTCTTTCTCTTTCTCTCTTGCTTGTTTTTTGCAGTAGTCATACCTCAGTATTAGAATGTTTTGAGTCTCCTACAATTTGGGACTTGACACATTTTGACACAAAAACTTTGTTCCAGTGCTCTTCATTTGTTTGGTACTTGGTGCACAGTCTAGAACTTGTGTCAACTGCCTTGTGACTTGCTACCCTCTCCAGCCAAAATAATTTGTTTGGTACTTGCGCCTCCCATAACCAACTAACAAGGAGTACCAAGGTACCACTGCACTGGGGGTTGAAGCCAGGGCCTACCATATGGTAGGCAAGTGTCTACCAGCAAGCAGCAACACCTGCCCCCTACCCCAGCCCTGGGGTTTTGTTTTGGAGACAGATCTAAGGTGCTGAGGCTGCCTTTGCATTTGTGATCCTCCTGGCTTGCCCACCCTCCCAACACACCCAAGTAATTGAGATTACAGTTGTGCCAGCTTTGTATATTTTTAAACACACACACACACACCGACTAGGATGGGGTGGAGGGGAGGTCCTAAAATGTAATAAATGGAATACAAACAGCCAATAAGCCTTACTACAATTGAGTAACAATTCTTAGTACAGTGAAGTACTAAGAATGTCAAGAACTAAGTAACTGGAAAACAGTATTTTAACTAAACACTGTAAGGCTAAAGATAAAATGACTTGTATCCAAATACTGTGCTCCAGGTAATAAATTTGTTTTCATGGGAATATGAATTAGCAATGTTAAAAGTATTTTGTTATTTTAGAACTGAACAAATTCATAAGTATACTATAGAAGTTACTGACATTAAAATAGCAATTGACAATTCTACAGCTGGGCATGGTGGCCCACACCTGTAATCCCAGCATTCAGGAGGCTGATGGATGATCCTGAGTTCAAGGCCTGCCTGGGCAACTCTGTGAGACCTTGTCTCGAAAAGCAAAAACAAAAAAATCTAACAAAATGATTTATTCTGAGCAACATAATGACCATGCCCTGAAAACAAACTCAGTTTAACAACATGTAATCCCAAAGGACATAGCCTGGGAGGACAGCGTTCACTGAAGGGCATGACTCCTACTGTGAAGAGATTACAAAGCCTTTTATAGTCCCAAAAGAAAGTAGACAGGGTCATCAAGTAGGCAAACTACAAAAAAGCAAGAAAATCTACCTCAAGACTGTGCTGCTTCACCTCCAGCCTTATGACTTAATAGAGGCTAGATGTCCATCAAGCCTAACATACCTTTTAAGATCTTATCCAATAGTCATACAAAACAATGCTAAGCCAGACACTGACACCAATAACAAATGGCCTTCAAAGGGCCAAAAATAACCCAATAAAATTTAGGCTTCTTAGCTTACAATAAAGTCTCTCCACAAGGTAGCAGCCTCCAATCAATAAAATTTTTTAAACTGTAAACAACCTGGAAGCTCAAACACGGCCTTTCTGGAGAAACTTCGATTCACAAAGTCATTCCCAAGTCACTGTTACCCCACTGTTGGTGAGAAGAAGTAGGGTCAACTGCCTTTGAGGCCCGACATCGCTCCAGCAGACGGTGGCCTCCAAAAGGCTTATTCTGCTCCCAAATGGCTGGGGAAGGCTCTACTTTTTCTGTGTTCCCTCTCGCCCCTGATTCACGACCCTTTGTCAGGAGCGCGCGGGGGGACCTGAAATGCATGTAAGTCCCTACACAACCTCAACGTGCCAAAAGACTCGGTATCACCTCGGACCGCTTCGCCCCCGCAAACATTCCACCTGCTGGCTGCACTGACATCTCTTTCCCGAACAGATCAAACGCTTGATGCTCGGGGCGCGATGGCTACGTCAATAACAAGACTTCGCCTTCCATGGGTTGGTTCACATTTGACCACCAGGTCCAAAGAGGGAATGGAAGAGGGTAGAAGAGCACCCGAGGCTGCCGCCCTGCTCTCTCTTCCGGGCTCAGCCTCGGGGATAAAGCTGGCTGTGGAACAACCAGCTCTACTCAGGGTGGAAGAGCGTCCCGAACAGACCCAGGGATTTGGCACCAGGGCACCATACTCACCTCTACAGCGGGCGGCTCCGCGGCGCAGCCGGAAATGCGTCACCAGGTGCGTCCGAACCTCTCTAGGAGCCGCATCGCTCCTTCTCGGTGGTGCTCTCGCCCCGCCTTCTGAGGCTGGGGAGCTAGTCCCCCACCGCGCAGATTTCTCCAGTTGTCCCGTCTCTTTCGGGTTGACTAATGGGGGCGGTTACACCTTGAGGGCCGAGGAAAGGAGGCAAGAAACAGGATCCAAGCTGGGCGTGGTGGCTCCAGCCGGTATTTCAAGCACTCGGGAAGGCTGAGGCAGGAGGATTGCAAGTTCGATCCCAACGAGGCAAATTGGAGACTTAGCAAAGGTCTCAAAGTAAACAGGAACCTGTTTTGGGGTAAAACTGCAAATGCAAGCAGCTGGACTGGACCAGTGCACCACACAGTCAGACCCAGTACTGCCTTTTTAAATAAATATTTCATGGTGTCTATTTTATTCTTGCCATGACATGAATAAATAATGGCCTAGAAATTCGTTAATAGTGACTTACATTTTTAAACTAGTTATGCCTAAATGTAATAAAGGATTAATAAAGGGAATATAATTTGTAATAAAACAATATCATTCAATATGCAAATACTTTGTCATAACTGCAGTAGACCTAATGACGTGTCAGATATTTGCCATCATACATAGAACTGATCTCAACGCTACATCCATGAAGCTATGTCTTCTTTGGGGGCTTCAAAAATCTTAAAAGTGTGATCCAACATAGTGCACACTTTTTGGTAAAGTTCTCAGTGAAGCACAACACAATGTTCTCTTGATTATAAATTAGTTATATTACTGGAATGTCAGTGTGTTAAAACTGGGAAAATACATTGTGTTTATCCAGGAAACAATTAGATTCTAGATTCAGGTAAATTAAGAATAGGATTTTTACCTACATAAATATCCACCAAGACATCTGAAAGTCTGAAAATTTTTTCAATAAGCAAGACCGTCCTATGCATTGCAGGATTTGTGGCATGCCTGGCTGTCATCCACATGTTAGTAGCAACTCCACCAACATCACCAAATGTAACAAAAATACCCCTACTAATTCGAAAATAAGCCCGGGAGAAGAGATAGTACTAAAAGCCACTGGATTAGACAACCCTTAAAATTCCTCTCCCACCCGCTGGTGGTGTAGGCCTTTCTTCCTGACAGCTGGTTCCTTACAGCTGCGGTAATGGAAGGCGGTAGTTGGCCTCCACTCGCTTCTCCAACCTCTCATCCCTCCCATTCTCTCTGCTCTCAACTTTTGCCCTACTTGTAAAACATGCAGGTCTCTAACCACTGCCCCTGTTCTTACCCTGTTCCTGGAAGTGTCGGTTCAAATGCCATTTCCCATTGGAAACCAAGCCTTCTCTGATCACGCAGAACAAAGCAGGCCCCTATTATCTGCCATTATAATGCCTTGTACTACTCAGTACTTGACATGATTTTCTACTGATTTAGTGGTAATAATTTAATTAAATATATGTCTTCTCTGGTAACTTCGTGGAGCAGAGACTATATTTTTCATGTTCAACACCATCACCAGCTAGAGAAAAAACTGGCACAAAGGAAGGGCACAACAAACATTTGTTACTGATATGCTCCAAAGTCTCCAGTCTCAACTCCCTGGTGGAATCCTGTTTTATTTCTGTGCCACTGAAGGTAGGATGTGTCTTATATCTGAGATTATGACACTAAACATTGCCAGGAGCCCTTTTCTACCTTGCTCTGATGCTGATCTTTGCTGTTTCCAAGACAGGTTACAGTATATGCTTTCTTCCATTCAGATAGGGAATGGATCCCACAATTGGGCAGAATGATACCTAGAGATTATTTTGCTCTTTGAAATAAATGCTGTTTTTAGGCACTTCTTCCTAGGCTCAGAAAGCAGATCCTTAGGTAGGAGTGAGGGTTTATCTAAAGAAATAAGAAGGAACTAGGAATCACAGCATCACATAGATACTCAAAACAGTTGGATCATAAACCAGTTGTCTAAGTTTATAGATATAAAAATAAAGTCCCTATTCCTAAGAGTGCTAGGACAGATATAAACTAAGTTACAAACTTCTGTGATCCTCCTGGAAAGACACAGATCCTTTGCTGTCTGTGTCTATTCTTCCTTTCTGATATCATGAAAGAATCTCTAGCAAGACACGTGACCATCCAGGAAGACAATAACGTGCTCCCCAGTACCCTTGTTATAGTTTGGTTCTGGATGTCCCCCCAAAGCTTCATGCAGTCATGGGGTGGTCTATGATTGATTCATGGTCCAATGATGGAATTATGGATGTGAGTGCTACACCCGCCCTGAGGTGGATAGTTTGCATAAATGTAAGGGAGGGAAAGAGGCTGCTTGCCCTTTTTGCTCTTGTTGTTTTTGCTGTCTTCCCCCACCATGAACTGTTGCCCTCTGCCATGTGCCACTCTGCCTTGGAGCCAGCCTAATATGGACTGAAATCTCCACAAATTGTAAGCTAAATAAACCTTTCCTTCCTTAATTCTAGGTGTCCAGTATTTTGTCTCAGCAATGAGAGAAAAGTAACTAAGACAATGCTTTAAAGAAAAGTGCGGCCTTCTGACTAATCTATCAAATAAGCTATGAGAAAAGGTGATGCTGTGTTCTTACAGACAAGGGACATGGCCTTCTGGCTACATACCTGCATCGGCTGGGTGAAATGTTGTCAAGGGTGAACGCTGTGAACCATGCAAATGAGGGTATGGCCCTGGAGATGACACAGCAGAGGAAGGAGTCCAGTGTCAGCCCTATATTGCTTGGCTCCAGATAATATATGAGAGAAAAATTTTCATCATATTTAAACCACATTAATTTGAGTTCTTCAAATTAATTCCCAATCCTACATCCTAACTAGTAGTCCTAGAAATGAGGAATGATGGAAAAGCACATAACCTAATGGTTAAAAATCTAAACTGGCTTTCATACTTGAGTGTTATGGGAGTGCATGCCTACGTGGGGCCTGCAGCCATGTTTGTTAAATTTTCCCTGCTTAGTTTTAAGTCTTTTGCTCTTGTACCTCTGTGCTCACAATCCCAAGAGCTCCTGAAAAGTTTTCACCCCTGACCACCATAGAAAACTAACAATCTTCTCACATTAAAGTTCTTTTGTGGTGTGTCTAATGTTATCAGGACAGGGTAAGGATAGTTCTGCATGCTTCTTCTCTGGAAAATTATAGTAAAACAGTAAGGCTCTGGTTGGAATTTATTCCAGGAATTCAAGGATTATTAGCTTATTATTAATAATTATTAATATAAATTATCAATATTAACAATTGGTTACTGATATAATCATTAATATTAATAGATAATTTATTATTAATATTAATACCATGACATATTATACTGTGATATAACATAATGTGTTATTATATTCTATATTATAACATATTACAATATAATGTTATATTCTGTTATATTATAATAATATAATTATTATTAATTATAATTATTAATTTATTGATATTATGAATTACAGTGACAGATCAACCTAGTATGTGGTGAAATATACTAGGGAAGGCAAGGCCTTATTCACAACATAATCAAATAGGAGTAAGTTTATATTATATAACAATGTAAATTATATAAGTCCAGTGTCAAAACTGCAATAGGATTTGTTTTTGAACTTGCAAAAATGATTCTAAAGTTCATCTAGAAAATAACGTTACATGCCTATGAGGTGAAACTAACACTTAGGAACACACAAGGATTGAAAGTTAGTGAATAAAAATAGATATAGCAGACATGTACTAATCTAGAGAAAGACGGCATAGCTATGTTAGTACCTTACAGTGACTTTAAGACAGAAAACACTATTAGCCATTCTTCCACTGATAGGCATTTGTGTTGTTTCCAAGAAGCTCTGTATCATTTCTAGTGTTTTTTATTATTTTTTATTCTCTTTAATTGTTTTATCAATCTTGCATTCTTACATCTGGTAATCTGAGCAACTTCGTTGAATATAACAATATGTAATATAACAACCATTGTTAATTCCTATCATCTTGCTTTGAAATCCTGTATCATTTTTATTGTTTTTGTGTTGGTTTGTTTTTGTCTTTGTTCTTGTTATTTTGTTATATTTTTTCTCTTTAAAATAAAGAAAACATTGGGCATGTCCCATTTCAGTCAGTATGAGTAACATGAATTATCACTTAGAAATTTAGGATAAATTGTGCAACATCATTTTGAACACGTTGATCACAGGATCATAGTGTAGCCATACACCAAAAATGGACAAAAAACTAAAACAAGAGGGGTTGGTTTGGCATAAGGAGTGGGGCTGATGTTTTGACCCACACGAGTGTGAATGGTGGAGATCAGTAAGTCCTGGTATCTGAGGGAGCTGAATTATAATATTTGAAAGGTTTGCATGGAGCAAGGGGTAGAAATCAGTGCTTCCCTGACACACATATACACACCCAGATGGCTGGACTCATGAAAGAATAAATTAGAAAAAAACGAACCTCGTGAGCAAAGAGATAACAAGCCTGTGGTCTTTGCCCAAACTTTAGATTAGTAATGGAAATGTCTCCTAGGAATAATAATAGCCCATATCACTGAGCACAGAATTTATTTTTTTATTTTACACAGAATAGTAAAAAAGAACAATAACAAAATACCAACAACATAGACAAAAACAAAACAAAGCAAAAACAATGAAAATGATACAGGGTTTTGGAACAAAATAATAAAAGTTCAGCATTTAAATACTATGTATTTAGACCAGTAACTCACAATCCAAAAAATTAAGTTAAAATTACTCCTGGTAGACTTATAAAATATTCACTACAGAATTAGGGAAAGATGGTACTTAAAAACTGATTGCATCTAATATGTACAAACATTTAATAAAGGCATGGAAGATATTTAAAAACTCAAATCAAGCTTATAGAGATAAAAGCCTTTAATGTTCAATCAAAATCTGCTGGATACAAGGTGGACATGGTGATATATGCCTGTAATCCCAGCACTCAGGAGGCTGAGGCAAGAAGTTCACCATGAGTTGGAAGCCAGATGGACTACATAATGAGTTCAAGGCCAGCCTGAACTACATAGCAGGACCCTATCACCAGAAAAAAAAAAAGAAAAGAAAAAGAAAAGAAAGAAAGAAAATACATTAGATGCGGTTGGTTAGATTAGATAGTGCAGAAAACAGGTTAATTAATTTGAAGACATAGCAATAGAAGCTGTCCCAAAGGAAATACAAAGAAAAGGAAATTGGAACTAAACATATGGGATTGAGATGTCCTGGCTTCTTCATTTGCTAGCTGTGATACTTTGGGCAAACATTTAGGTGTTCTGAAACCCTATTCATTCACCTGGAAAATAAAGTAATGTGTAGAGTTGTAAATATTTCTCTCTCTCTCTCTCTCTCTCTCTCTCTCTCTCTCTCTCTCTCTCTCTGTGTGTGTGTGTGTGTGTGTGTGTGTGTATGTGTGTGTGTGTTTTGTAGTTGCTCAACTAATGTGAACTTCTGTACCTTATTTGTGGATCTGATTGAATTTCTGGATTCATCAATAAAGCACTAGTTCATCAGTTTGCAAATATGGTATTATCATAACTAGGGGAAAGAGGTTGTAATACTAAACTCCTCTAGAAATTTGGTTTCCTAACATCAAAGGAACTTGCTAGCAATGATCAAGTTTCAAAACTTTTTACCACAGAGAAAGCAGACACAATCCACTGTGTGCTTTTGAAGAGGTTGACAGTTGGAAGTTAGCCAAGTGAGGAAATGGTATGAACAAGAATCAAGCAGCCTGTCTCCAAATAAATACAACGTATTTCGTTCCTCATACATACCTCCCAGGGCTTGCTTTGTGCTTGTGCCTAGGAAGAAGCCTGAGTATCTCTTGCGCAGCACAGCTGTTATCTTGCTTTCCCGTAACTTAACACAGTGACTCTGGATCCCACTCTCGCAGAGCTCTCCAAGGATTCCAATTATCAGCACTGTTGCTGAAGTACTCTAGAAAGAATCCCCACTCTCGTGTTGTCATAAAGTGACTTCTAGAAGACTAACGGCTTTAGGGTATTGTGATCACCAGCATACAGAAGTCAAAAGTCCCAGGAAATTATCTGTGTCTCTGTAATACACGTTTTTGGAGCCATACAAGCACAGGGGACGAGAGAAGACAACTGGGCGACGATGGTGCTGTCCAAGGTGCTACCTTTGCCTCACCAAGGTGTTTATGCAGCTCTCTAAGGTCTTGAGTCTGGCCTCAGAGCCATTGTTCTCCAATCAGATGCTAATAGCCTGACTGTGTTTTAAGCCTGATTTCCAGACACTTCCCTCATTCTCTCTTTGTTGAACTCAGGTCGCCAGAACTTGAACCTATCACCTAGTGTCCAAGTTCCTGCTTGTAAACTGCTGTTACAGTTTACATCTAGAATCCCCCCCTCAAACCCTCATAGGATCATAGGTGGGGCTTTTAGGAGGTGACTGGATCATAAAGGATAAATGTAACGTTAGGAGATGGAACCTGCTTGGAGCCCCTTGGGGGGTTGTAGCTCGGAATGGTATATCTCCCTCCTCCTTCCTCCCTGATCTCTCCCTCTCTTTCTCTTCTCTCTCTTCTCTCTTTCCTGACTCCCATACCATAAGTAAACCTCCTCTGCCAGGCCTCCCTGCCTTGTATCCAGCTAACTGTGGACTGAAACCTCTACAAACCATAAGCCAAAATAAACCATTCCTCCTTTAAGCTGTGGGTGTTGGATATAGAGTCCCAGCAACGGGAAAGTAACTAAACCATGTTATAGCCTGTAACTATGCCTCAAAATCCAGAGAATTCCAAGGATAGAATTTGTTCTAGACACAGATGTATAAGAAATTGCTAACTTAAAGTTTGAGCCACAGAGCTGGATCCCCTGGGATCTGTCAAAGTTTGCCATCTAAATTACCAAGTGTGTGGTATTTGTTACCAAAGCCATAGAAAACTAATACATTACTATTCTCCCTTACCCATGCTTTCCTATACTGATGCCTCAGACAGCTCTATCTCCCGTTGAGAAGTCAAGAACAGCCTACTTGTCTTCTCAGTACTCTCTTCCACTAATACAGGGAGTGTTATGGGTTTCTTGACAGTTCTCAGACTTCACATCCAGTATCTAAAGGACAATACTGGGTAATAGTTAGAATATGTGTGCTGAAACTAGGCTGCCTGGATATGATTCCCTACTCTGCTCTGTTCCCAAGCAACCTAATTAACTAGTTTCCTCAATTATAACATGGTGCTAGTTAGAGTGCACAGTTCATAATATTGTAATAGTAAATGTGCATAGATCAAGAAAGTGACAGGCATGTGCTTTGTCAAAAAATTACTGCTGTTGTCATTTACTAAATAGTAGCTGTACTGAAACAACAGCACGTCCCTGACCCCGGTTACTTTAACTAGATACTTTTCTGGTGACTTTAAGGTTTTCTACCTTCAAAATGACCCTGCCAGAAATAACCCAAATGTTCATTAACACTAGGCAATAAATTGTGTCACATGGGTATAAAGGAGTAGTAGGCAGCAATAAGAATGAATCTATACTAATGATTCCATACATGAAGGTACAACAAGTTAAATAATTTGTGGTGATAGAATTCACAAAAGGCTATGACCAGGATGGGGTTCTGGAAGACGTACAAGGTGCTGGTAGATCTTATTTCTGAATCTTGGCAATTATAAGGCCATATTCTTGATAAAAATGCAAATTATACAACTCTGATTTGTGCATTTTTGTGAGTGTGTTATACTTCGATTATAAATGTTTAAACTTCTATTTTCACTGGTCAGTACAAGTGCGTGATACAGCTGCTCCTTTACCTGCTGGCATGCAAGGAAGATGTGATGAGAAACCCAGGCACTAGACTTTAGGTGAAGGTACGAGTCCATAACCTGGGGTTGGGTTAGCAGCACAAGGGCATGTGGGAGAAAAGGGGGTGCAGATTACATTCATTGACCAAAGAAAAGAATCAGCTGTTTGTTTTCCTACCAAGACATTTCTATATTGTGTTTTATGACCAGGAAGCTGAGCACTTCCTTGGCCCACTAACTAGATCAAAGGACAGAATAGGCATGCTACTCCAGACACTGAACTGGTAAACACCAAGCCATAAACACACATATAGACACAGATAAACATATTTACCAGTATAATGACTAGAATGACATTCATTCCAAGTAAGAACTAAGAGAGAAAATGAAAGCTTTAAGAGTCAAGGCTTTCCATTTGATGATTAAGACTTCTGGAGAATGATTCACTGATGCAGACATAGTTGTGTAGTTACATTGAAGTTCTTGTTGGAGCATAAGTTGTAAACACTTCTATCCACTGAGGTTGTGCAGACTAAACTCTCCACTGTTACATGAGTTTTTCAATGTCGTTACAATCCAGAGTTTTGGGGCATCTCAACACTATAGCTAAAGAATTTTCTACATATTATGCACATAAAATATTTTTCCATCCTCAGGTTTGTTTTCCATGAAGACTTCAGATACTGGTTACATTGATAAGATTCTGTGTAACTCAAAATTCTGTTCCAAGGGAAGAAAATGCCTCTCAAACTTACCTTAGCATTAATAAATAAATAAACTGCCTTCTTATTTATTGGAATTGATTGGAATTCAAAAACCCACATGTATTTCTATTTTTAGATGTGGTTTCAATATAGTTGTTCAAGAAATATCCTTAAGATTTCATTATTCTTCAACTCCCAGGATTTCTCTTCTACTGTGCTGACTTTATTCTCATCTTCCAAGGGATCCAGGGGCTCACCTTAGCTTAAAAACCAATGGAAAAGATGAAAAAAGGAATAATTCTTCCCATTAGCTCCTTCCTACTTCTGCAACTCTACCTGGACCATCTTGGGTCCCTACTGATATCTGAACCAGTAACTATGGCTTGAGGGATAGAATGTGTAGCTGAGCCACGCCTGCACCATGGATTTCCCTCCTGAGTGGAAATTGAATGCATTACTACCAGTAAAAGGGCGTAAAAAATTCTGGGAGGCCAAAATGACAAATGCCTAGCATATGTTTCACTTCAGAGTGGAAGAGGACACAGTCATAATGACCTAACTGGGGAAAAAAATCTACAGAATTTTTCATACTGCTACACTCATAGGGTTACTTTCCAGTATAAACTCTTTAATCCTGTAGATTTCTTTTGCTAGTGAAGATTTTTCCACACTTTCACGTGTGTAGGAAGACTCTTAGATACGTTCGTAATTGTTCCTGAGCAGTGAAGGCTTTCCCACCATCTATGCAGTCAAAAGCCTTCTCCTCACCATGAATTCTCTGGTGTCAGGTTAGCTTTACAGGAAAACTGAAGGCTTGTCCACATACTTTACACAAATACAGCTTTTTCACTTATGTGAATACTCCCATGCTGGCTAAGATGGGAAGTCCTTCTTAAGCTTTTGCCACACTCATTACACTCACAGGGTTTCTCTCCAGTGTGGATGTTCTGATGGCAAATTAGTGATGAGTTCCCCGAAAAAGTTTTTCTGTCCTCACTGAATTCATAGGGTTTCTCCCTAGTGTGGATTCTTTGGTGTGTAACAAATTTGGAACTATTGGTGAATCTTTTTCCACACTCCATATAGTGATAGGGTCCGTCCCCTAGTTGGATTCTCTGGTGACAGATCATATTTGCATTGTTACTGAAGGCTCTCCCACACTTCTCACTGATAGAGCTCCTGCCCAGTGTGGGGCTTCCTGTGTCAGCTTAGTGAAGAACTACCAATGAAGGCTTTTCCACACTCATTGCACTCAAAGGACTTTTCCCCAGTGTGGATTCTCTGGTGTCTAATATAGTAAGAAAGATAGCTGGAGCATTTCTCACACTCTTCACAGCCACACTCTTCACAGCTGAAGGGTTTCCTCACACAATGAATTCTTGGATTCTTTCCTGAAGAGTTTTTCACTCTAGGGGTTTCCTGGTGCTTCATCACATGAAGTGTTCTGGCAAAATCAGTTCCCTGTGGCAGTGCACATGACATCATGTCTTTTTCTTCTGAAATCTACTGTGGACTTATTGTCAATGTTGGTCTCAGCATCTAATATAAGAAATAGAAAATACAAATGTCTCCTGAAACTTATACTAGAAATAAAGGAACATTGAACAGTTTAGGGTTTGGAAAGATGTCACTCATTCCAACCTTCACTCAGCTTGCTGGGAAGACAAGGTTATTAAAATGAAAATGCCAAATGTCGTAGAGGCAGAGAACGGTGGAATAGGGTTTCAGTGCATACATCAAATTTCAGATTGCTCCTGAAACTTTCCTTGGCTCTGTGTTGGAATGACTTCTCCCTTCTCAGGGTCAGAAAGTAAAACAGAAGAGACAGAAAACAAAAGTAATACATAAAGGGTTTCTTTTTAAAAAATTCGTACCCTGCAGATGTCCCCAGAGATTGGAGACTGAGTATTAAGGGCACTAGACAGTGGCAAGGTAGAAAGAAAACCTCAGAAGTACTGGAGAGACAGCTTCCCCAATACGCCACACGATAACCTCGTGCACAGGTTGTCAGCCGCAGATCCACAGATGGAGTAACAAAGAGGAGCAAACACTCTAGAACTGATGGCAACTATTAAGTCGTGTCATCTGACTCAAAGTCTGAACCTCAAACATGCAGAGAAATATTGCTCTAGACTCTGCCTATGAGAAAAGAAAAATTTGGACACACTGAGACCATGGCATATCCTTTCTCACATTAGCAAAAAGGAGACAATGTCCCACAAAATGTCATTTGTGTTCCTAAGGAGTGAACAACAATTGAACTCAGATAAAGTCAATCTAGTTTATATGAAATGTTAGGCCAACTTAGTTTTAATGTTAGTCAGGTTATCTGGGCCTGGCCTGGTTGGTTAATCAAGTTCTTCTCATGAGTACAAGTTAATGAAGAAGGAGTCTTAAAAGGAAAGAATTGGAATAGGAAAGATCTGAGACTGAAGTGAGCGTGGTGACCGGTAGTCTGCAAAGGAATGAAGAAGGCTCTTGAAGGCTGGCGGTCTGTTCTCACTCCCACACTCTTCTTGCTACTAGGCCATCTGATGTCATAAAATCAGGACAGAGCAATCAAAGACCGCAAACTCTTTCCCTGCTGCTCCATACTCAGCCATTCATTCTTTCAGCAATCACCACTTTCCCTCCACCCCAACTGAAGCCCACTTCCCTAGCACCCCAAGCCCTAGCATCTCCTTCCTGCTGGAAGAAACCACAGCAGCCCAAGTAAAGTGCTCTCAATTTCTCTCCTTCCAATCCACATCCCACCACCTCCAATTTCCCTCCCAAATCTCACACTGAGCTTCGCAATCATCCCTGATGCCACCTCCTCCCACTTCATCTGATATGCTGCCCTATCAGCTTCTTCTCCTCATCTTCAAACACTTTCCTCAGATCTTCACATCCATCTGGGTTTCCTGTTCATCCTTTCACAGCCAATTTTTCTTATACTGTTTTTCAAACTGCTCAGACATTAGTCATGAAATCGATATAATGCACCACTATCCAACAATATGAAATATGCTAATCTACATTAGAACAGAATAGAAAATTCTCACACATGGCAATGGTAAGGATGAATGTTTTTCCTGATACCAGTTTTAGGGTACATGTTGATGGCACAGGGGTTGCCAAAAAGTCTACTACCTACTGGGTTTCATGATCTGAATAGTCTGAAAAACACAACTATTTATGCTATGGTATTTTCTTTCATTCCTAAACTTAGCAAACTCAGAGGTTTAAAGACATACTTTAATCAAAGATTTCACAAATAACTTTAAAGTAATTATTCCCAGGAGGAACTATCCTAGATAGGAAGACTTCAGAGTAGGAATTAACTAGGTTAAAAGAGAAATCTTTGCAAGAGTAACAACATGTACAAACGCAGGTGCCAGAAGTGAAGGGTCAAGAAGGCTATAGATACCATCCAGGGAGTGTGCTCAAGGTGAGGTTGAGGGTGTTGCAAGACCAAGCCACACAGGGCCTTGTGCATGTCAAGCACTTGGTCTTTGACTTACAAGCAATAGGTCACAGCTACAGGATTACAAGCAGGTATAGTAAGTTGATCAGTTTAATATGTGTTTTTGCTATTAAGCTGAATGCTCAGGGAAGCAGAGGCATGCTGCACTTCTGTAGCCTAAAACAGCAACTAGTGTTCAGCTGCTCAGTAACTAGCTGTTGCCCTTGTGAGCAGAGGGATGTGGTGACTTTGGGCTGCATGGTTTCTCCTCTCTATGCAGCAGCCCATATTCACAGAGGCTCTTAGTGGAAGCACAGGCACCGCAGGACAGCAGGGTTGGCCCAGGCTGCTTTTGCTCTCCAGACTAAGAGGTGCCACCCTGACCCCCTACACATCAGTTTCCAGGAGTTGATAGGTGTTGTAGTCAGGGTTTGCAAGGGAATGGATTTAATACAGGATGCAATTTATAGGACTATTCTATAACATTCATTCAAAAAGTCAAATGCAAAAGTGTGTGAGAATGAATGAGACCAAACTTCTAGTTTGAACCACCGGGTTATGTGGATGTGGGAACAGAAGGAAATGTCAGATGACACCTCAGTCAGACGCAGAAAGCAGCACCGTGGGGGAGCAGAGGTAGTTTTATGGAATGAAAGTTCAACTGTGTCAAATGCAATTTTAATTTTTTTTAAAAAATGATGATAATAAAATGAGGATTACAACAGTACCACCTCGTGGAGAGTGCTAGGAGCATAATAATCAGCCTTCACCTTGGTTTCCTCTCACTCGTGTTCTTTAACTTTTCCTAGCTGAAACTCTACAGTCTCACTTCTGACTCTCAGAAATCTACATGCGCACACATTTAAATGTGCAGATTTATGACATTTGTGTGTGCAAATATTATTTTACAGTAGCTTGGGTTTTTTCTTTCATTATTTTCTGTTTTAAATCTTTTTTTAGATTTGCAAGAATCACAGAGTAGAGAAAGTGCTGTAATAAATCCCCTCACACCCACATATCAGCACCAGCTTCAACCATGAAGACTTTGTATCAGGGCCCCCTTCCTCTCTCACTTTTTTTACTGTTTGTTTTGTTGGAGCATTTTAAAGTAAATCGCAGATGCATCGTCTCTCCCTTCAGTACTTCAGTGCATCTCTCTAAAAGATAAAGCTCTTACAAACATAACACAATTCATTGTTATGGTTTGTGTCTGGATGTCTCCCCAAAGCCTCATGCAGTCATGCATGCCGGCTTCTAGAGTTTATGATGATCCAAGATCCAATGTTGGAATTATTGGTGTGAGTGCTACACCTGGCTTGGGGCAGGTAGTTTGCGTATAATATAAGGGAGGGAAAGATTCTGCCCTCTGCTGCTCCTCTCTTTTTTGCTCTTCCTGCTTTTGCTGTTTTCTGCCACCATGAACTGTTGTCCTCTGCCATGTGCCACTCTGCCTTGGAGCCAGCCAAGTACAGACTGAAACCTCCATAAACTGTGAGCTAAATAAACCTTTCTGTCCTTAATATTGAGTGTCAGGTATTTTGTCTCAACAATGAAAAAAAAGTAACCAAGGCATTCATATTCAATTTCCCTAGTTATCTCAAAAATATGTTTATATGTACTTTATTTTTATTCTGATCCAAGGAAGATCCTCACACTGAATTTGGTTAATATGTCTCCTAAGTCTGTTAAGACTCTATAAATTTCTCTTTTCTTTTAATACCATTTATCTATGGAAGGCCCTGGACTATCTGTCCAACAGTACCTTTCCCATTCTGTGTCTGGCTGAGGTGTCATCTAACATCTCCTCCCATTCCCACACACCCATAACAGTAGTTTGAACTAGAAGTTTAGTTTCATTCAAGTGTAATTTGGGGGGCTTTTCTCAGGGGCTTTTCACACACTGTCTTCCTTAACAACTTCATTCTCCTTTTTCAATTTTTCAACATTTATTCAATAACCTCAGAAACCTCAGCTGCTTCTTACCTCTTCATTTAATGCACTGGAAAGAAACAGATCTTGGTAATGGGTAATCAACCCTATGTAGAAAACTAGGTCTAAAAACTTGAATGTAGCCAAGCATGGTGGCATATGCCTATATCCTATAGTTTGGGAGGTAAGGGAAGAGGATCACAAGCTTGAGCTCAGCCTGGCAACCTGGAGACTTTAGTGGGACTTTGTCTCAAAATAAAAGTTTAAAGAGGGCTTAGGATGTAGCTCAGTGGTAGAGCACCACGGGGTTCCATCCTCAGCATTGCTAAGGAAAAAAATTAAAACTTCATTGTAGAATGGAAAACTGTGTATTTTCTTTTTAACAACAAAAGTTTAGGACATCAAATATTAAGGGCCTCAAAATTTTACAGAAGGCTCCTTCCATTAATATCTTCAATAAATTTATAAGTTTTCAATGAATATTCATTTATTTGACAAATTTTTGTTGAGGGTCTCCTATGTGCTTTCTACTATTCTGGGGACGTGGCAGTGAATACAATAGTCCCAAATATTTACTTTCATGGTAATTTTATTAAATTGTAATTAATTGTTCTCCCACTTCTGCTGGCATCTTAATAAAAAAAATGAAATGGAAGAAACCATTTTCCATTTGCTATTTACTAATACTATGATTGTTTTGTTTACTATAGTAATCTTTGCACAAAACAGTACAATTGCTCATTACAGGAAAAATAGATTTTTCATTTACCAAGTGAGAACTCAACCATCATCTAAGACGTTATTTCAATGGAAAACAGCATTCTGGGTTGCAAAATTTAATTTCCAGTTAACTTTGTGGAATAACTGTAAATTTTGTACAATTATGGAAATTTACTAAAAACTAAGGCTTGGGGAGGGGTCACTGCTAGGAGTTGAACCCAGGGCCTCATGCATGTGAGGTAAATGCCCCACAGCTGAGCTACATCCCCAGCCCCAAATCTAAGAATTCTTTTTTTTTTTGGTACCAGAGATTGAATCCAGGGCCTTTTCAGTAAGCTACCTCCCCAAACTCTTTTATGTTTTTGAGACAGAATCTTGCTAAATTGCTGAGTTGCCCAGGCTGGGCTTGAATTCACAATCCTGCTCAGAATCCCTCAGTGCTGGG